AGGAGGTCCATTTCCTGTTATATTTATCGGTCATCTAAATTCACATCGTCATCTTCCTTGAGAAGATATATAGGGAGGATAAAAACAAAGACAAGTAGAAAGTACTCTTCCGTTTAAAAGTAAACCCCTTATGAGTCATTTTAATGCCTTTTGACCTATGTTTGCAATAAACTTTTAATATTAAAAAGTCATATTAAAATAGACCTCGTTCGTCATATTTGCGAGCGTTTCATCCGGATTACAAAACAAAAATACAGCGTTTTTATTTTTTCTAAGGGCTCGACAACCATGAAACTTAAGGCAAACAAAAATAGTTGATATCATTATGAAGCTGATACCCTATTTTAGAACTTGAAGTCTCATGTGATATGTCCGATTTTTTTTTTAAAGAATTATAACCTCTAACTTCCTCAAATTATTTTTTGTGGGAATTAAAAATGATTAAATTCGTCTGTTTATTTATACTGAAGAATTATCATAATCAAAGTGTTTCTTATTTTAAAAGTAATTCTCCGCTTTGTGAATTATTTATTTTTTTATTAATTTTTTCTCCGCTTAGATCGTCTGCCTCTAGGTTTGTTTTTTTTACATTTACTTGAAGTAAATGTTAATTTCGTTTCGTTTCGTTTTGGCAAATTTCAGTTGGTTTTGTTTTGTATTGTTTCGTTTCGTTCCGTTTTTATTCCGTTTCGCACTTTACAGGTACCCCAAATGCGTTAATGATACATATGTTCTCTTTTCGCCCGTTTTCTATTTTTAATTTCTTAATCAAAAATAAAAAAAATGCAAACTTTCAAAAAGCAAAATAATTAAAAATGCACGTTAAGTTTAGTATTTTTAAAGATTGATTAAATATCTAAACTATCAAATTTTAAAACGAATTTTAGAGTTTTAAAATTTAAATTATTTAGTGAAATTTTCAATAAATTTCAAAAATTTGGAACGTTGGTATTTTAGAACTTTGATCAAAAATCCAAAAAAATAAATTTGAAAATTTTAAAAAATTTTGAATTATTAAGTGTTACACGGAAGCTTTTACACAGTTCTAAAAGTTGGCAGTATGTTCTCAGTACGCTCTACTCGTTTGTTTATTGCGTTCTTATGCAGTTCTTAATACGTACACCCTGTCTGTAGTACAATCAGACAGGGAGTGGTATAAAAAGAGACAGTTTTCTTACTGGTTGATCATTTAGTTACTTATATGCCCAGAATAAAATTGAGAATGGAAACGGGGAATGTGTCAAAGAGACAACAACCCGAACAAAGAGCAGAAAACAGACCAAGGCCAAGTTGGGTCTTCAACACAGCGAGAAAATCCCGCACCCGGTGGCGGGCCAGAAACATGGATAACTTTGCAGATCTTGGGGGACTGGGTGTATCTTCAGTGAATATGATCACATTTCTTGTTTGTAAAGAGGGTAAATAATATACATAAAATTGAGAATGGAAATGGGGAATGTGTCAAAGAGATAACAACCCGATCACAGAACAGACAACAGCAGAAGGCCACCAACAGGTCTTCAATGCAGCGAGAAATTCCCGCACCCGGAGGCGTCCTTCAGCTGGCCCCTAAACAAATATATATACTAGTTTAGTGATGATGAACGCCATACTACTACCTACTTTATAAACACATGTATTTGTATGCTGTACTTCAGCTTATAAAATTGAAAACGAATATCACCATAGCATCATAGGTATCAAACGGAATATCAGACAATCACCAAGCATGTCATCATGTACATTATCATCATTTAAAAAACACAAGTATAAACTACCAAGACAACTGAAAAATATATAAAAAGTGGCGAACGAGAGAGGACTGGCAGTAACATGCTAGGTTTTTATAGCCGTCAGGCCAGGATGTGATGACAATTATGTTCTGAACCAATTCGGGACGAGATGAGGAAGTAGACAGAAATAGTTATAAACTGTCTGTGAACGAGACAATCGAGTGGTGCACTATTTCGACGCATAAGGAACGAAGTAAGAATATTAACACATCGGTTTAAACATTCTACAGACATCATTTGAATAAACGTTCTAGCCAGACCACAATAATTATATGAATAAGGAGGTGTGGTATGATTAATTGCCAATGAGACCACTATCCACCAAAGTTCAAATAGAGTGGATGTAAGCAATTATAGGCAACCGTACGGCTTTCAACAATGAGAAAAACCCATACCGTATAGTTGGCTATAAAAGACCCCGACATGAAAAATATGAAACAATTCAATTGAGAAAACTAGGTAAACGACCTAATTTATAACAAAACAATTAACGAGAAACACAACCCGTTTTACGTATTTCTAATGGCGGATTCGGACGTTTTGAGAACTAGTTTGGTGTGACTGAAGCTTTAAGGATGTATAACCGTTGATTGTCATCAACACTGCCTATTGAACATATACTGCGGATTAAGATTAATATTATTGTTGTCAGAAAAAGAAACTATCAAAGTTTCATTTTTAAAAACGATTCTTAGAATGGCCATTATAATTCCCTTTTCTCATTTAAAAAATGTGCAGAAATGTTTTATAAAAACATGTGGTATGAAAAAAAATCTATTATGGTACATTTTTTTTTTGTAATAAAAAAAGTAATATCTTAATTATACATTTAGAATTATTAATTAGTTCAGAGAGATATTTATAAAAAAAAGTTTCATGTTGAACTGATCTTTGATATTACCCAGATATGCACGCTTGATCTTAATATGTTTCAATTATATTTTCAAAATTATATTGTTCATATTAATATAATGTCCTAAACTAAACACTGGGGCCGAAGTATTTATAAGCCACGCTAAAAACAAAAAGGAGAAGATCGAAAAGGCTAATACATTTTGCAGTATTTTGACACTTCACCACACTATACACAGCCACGTCCAGTAGGAATGGGGACGATGTCCAATATAGGGAAAGAAGCCGGGCTCTCCAGGCAAAATAAAAACAACTCTGAGGTGCTATACAATATTGAAGAATAATGGGGTGCTACAATATAAAAAATGGAGAATAATGAGGTGCTACAATATAAAGAATAGAGAATAATGAGGTGCTACAATATAAAGAATAGAGAATCATGAGGTGCTACAATATAAAGAATGGAGATTAATGGGGTGCTACAATATAAAGAATGGAGATTAATGTGGTGCTACAATATGAGGAATAGAGAATAATAGGGTGCTACAATAATAATGTGGTGCTACAATATAAAGAATGGAGATTAATGTGGTGCTACAATATGAGGAATAGAGAATAATAGGGTGCTACAATAATAATGAGGTGCTACAATATAAAGAATGGAGATTAATGTGGTGCTACAATATAAAGAATGGAGAATAATGTGATGCTACAATATAAAGAATGGAGATAAATGTGGTGCTACAATATAAAGAATAGAGAATAATGGGGTGCTACAATATAAAGAATGGAGATTAATGTGGTGCTACAATATAAAGAATGGAGAATAATGGGGTGCTACAATATAAAGAATGGAGATTAATGTGGTGCTACAATATAAAGAATGGAGATTAATGTGATGCTACAATATAAAGAATGGAGATTAATGTGGTGCTACAATATAAAGAATGGAGAATAATAGGGTGCTACAATAATAATGAGGTGCTACAATATAAAGAATGGAGAATAATGTGGTGCTACAATATAAAGAATGGAGAATAATAGGGTGCTACAATAATAATGAGGTGCTACAATATAAAGAATGGAGAATAATGTGGTGCTACAATATAAAGAATGGAGAATAATGTGGTGCTACAATATAAAGAATGGAGAATAATAGGGTGCTACAATAATAATGAGGTGCTACAATATAAAGAATGGAGAATAATGTGGTGCTACAATATAAAGAATGGAGAATAATAGGGTGCTACAATAATAATGAGGTGCTACAATATAAAGAATGGAGAATAATGTGGTGCTACAATATAAAGAATGGAGAATAATGTGGTGCTACTATATAAAGAATAGAGAATCATGGGGTGCTATAATATAAAGAATGGAGATTAATGTGGTGCTACAATATAAAGAATGGAGAATAATGGGGTGCTACAATATAAAGAATGGAGAATAATGAGGTGCTACAATATAAAGAATAGAGAAACATGAGGTGCTACAATATAAAAAATGGAGAATAACATGGTGCTACAATATAAAGAATGGCGAAAAATGAGGTGCTACAATATAAAGAATGGAGAATAATAGGGTGCTACAATAATAACGTGGTGCTAAAATATAAAGAATGGAGAATAATGAGGTGCTACAATATAAAGAATGGAGAATAATGAGGTGCTACAATATAAAGAATGGAGAATAATGGGGTGCTACAATGTAAAGAACGGAGAATAATGTGGTGCTACAATATAAAGAATGGAGAATAATGAGGTGCTACAATATAAAGAATGGAGAATAATGGGGTGCTACAATATAAAGAATGGAGAATAATGAGGTGCTACAATATAAAGAATGGAGAATAATAGGGTGCTACAATAATAATGTGGTGCTACAATATAAAGAATGGAGAATAATGTGGTGCTACCATATAAAGAATAGAGAATAATAGGCAAAAAGTATAACCAATAGAGAAAAATGGCCCAAAAAATCAAGGAATACAGGAATGAAGGACCCCATCCAGACCCTCTACTATAGCCTGTTTTATATATTTGCTCTCTTCCTGAATGATCATGAAATAGTTTCACTGGATGCCAAGCAGCCAATGAATATTAGATAAACTGTTTGTTTTTGTTTTATCTATTTATTCATATTTTCTAATTTTTGTATTTACTTTCTATTTTATTCTTTTTTAGGAAGGGGCGTGAATTGTTTTTTTTTAGTTTTTTTTTTATAGGTATTGGTATTATTGTTGTTGTTACTGTTTAAGAGAGAGAGGAGGGTCAGGTTTCATGTACAGCTATTATCTGATCTCCCCTTTAAGTGTATTCATTATTCCTGTAAACTTAACTAGTAATATATGACATAATTATATAACTATACATGTATATGTGCTTAATCTATATTATACAGTATATCCGTATTTACAATTAATATCTAATATGAAGTGGTTTACATACTTTTTGAAAATCCCACAAGGTGGAAATAGCCAATTATACAGTGCGGGACTTTCTATCAGGAAATTTTTGTTTCGTTTTCGTTTATACTTCGACTGTTGTGTGTTGTACCACACATCGAATTAAAGTGAGAGGTAAGTGTACAATATTATATTATGAATACAAAATAAAATAGAGAAAAAAATATGAATTACTGCATTACAAAACGCGTATATATTTGTATCCTTTTAATTCTTCCGGTAATGGTAATAAATAAAACCCCATTAAAGCAGAAATTATAGTTATGATAGTACACACATGTATGACAATCATATTAAAGATAATAATCAAAATTGAACCACAATCTTGATATAGATATGATATTTTATTTATAACGCAGTATTTGATCAGAATACAAATGTACTATTTTTAGCTTTCTGTTTACATCTAAAGTGTAATTTACACCTGGCTTTCGCAGGTAAAACAATTTCTGTCTATCAGTAACAAAGTATAGTAAAACCGTTCATTCCGTGATATGTGTGTATTCTGCATTTGGTAAGTTTGTGTATTTTGTAGATTGTCTTACATTGATGGTGTACAACCGGCTCATATGTTTTCATTTTGTATATTTGGCTTCCCTTAGGCTTATCGTGTATTGGTGACATTTATATCATTGACACACGTCGTGCACATAGCCGACCCCCAATAGTTGACTGGGTGAGGGATGTATAACTATGCAGTTACGTCCAACACAGAGACGTTACCATGGTTAAGCTGTTACTGTAGGATGAGTATCAAGCTCTCTGCACGTAGAATAATCCTTGCAACAAATTAACTCTCTGATGGGACAGTAGGTGTTCTCAGTGGTGCAAGGCACCTGGTTTTCTCCTATCCAAAAAATCCTCATTTATTATTGGCAGTCCACATTTCCCGCATTTCACCCGTCCTATCTTCCTTCCAGAATGTATCTATAATAATATTAATCATTAAATCATACTCGTCCTGAATATGCATGAAATATTTGCCACTGGACGTTTAGCAGCCAACAATCAATTAATTGTACATATTACAGCCGAAAAAGGATGGGTGTTGGTATTTTGGTTGGAACCTGCTACATGTGTATATTTCTATATAGGCCTCTTTTTCAAACTTTATTACTTAGGGTAAGAGTAAAAATTGAGATGTAGTGTATATGACATTATACGATAAGGATAATATTATTAACATTTCACACATACTAATGCTCATATAATTATCCAAAATTGGTCAAATAATACATGTCAAACATCATCAAATAATCCAAATTAATCTGATATTTATTAAATTTTATTATCTTTTTGAGATATTCATTTATAATAACATTTCACTGAAGAGCTCCATGGTAACCAAAATCTCAATAAATGTATAACGCTGTCTTATGAAGTCACGAGTATAATTTTTTAGTAATAGTTCTGTGATAGCTGATAAAATATTGATATGGGTATTCAATTGGAATTGTAAGTAATATTTTTGTTTAGTTTATTTTAAGGAGTTTATTTATATGTAAACTGGTCTTAATCACACGAACTAAACTTTCGGACTTTATTCAGTTTGTGGGTAAGTTGACCGTGTTTATATCCTTCCGAATAACCATTATTAATATAAAAAGAACCATATGTAACCTACCTGCTGTAACATAAAATAATGTCCCAGTGAAATATTGCCCGTTGGACAAAATTTCATAGAAAATATTGTCCGCAGACAACATTTTATAATGAAATACTGTTCAGGGCAGTATTTCATTATGAAATGAAGACTTTCTCTTTGACATGACAGCTTCTACAGGACAATATTTCACTGTGACATACTGTCATTGACACTTTGAAATGTCTATTTTGTGTCAACCTCTGTACAGTGGTAACAGTACGGTTTGCTTTATTTTCATGAGTAACTTTTATTCAGGACATTCTGGTGTGTTTTTACTTATGCTTCTAATGATTGTGTGCCTTATCAACATGCTGTTTTGTCTTATACAGAGTTGTATGCTAGAACCATGTGAATTTACACAATGAATAACAATGGTACAACTCAAATCAAACTTAAAGTTGTCCTGATTGGTGATGCAGCAGTTGGAAAGACATCGCTGTCTGTAAGATTTACAGAAGACAAATTTGGAGACAACTATAGATATACCATAGGAGGTAGTTATACGTGTTCTTTTAAAGGGCCATTACATTAGCTGCCAAATGCATTAACTCCGAAATGACTCGTACTCAAAAACTTATTAATCGAAGGGGTTTGCACTCTGTCTATCTGTTTGTCTGTCTGTCTGTCTGTCCATCCGTCAGTCCGGCAAATCAGTTTTCCACACTTTTTTTCTGCGTGCTTGAAGATATTGATTTGTAATTTGGTATATTGAGTCATCATGACAAGTTACAGATCAAGTTCGAATTATGTTCCGGTCTGATGATTTTGTGCAGAGTTATGGTCCTTGGACTTAAAAAAATCAATCAAATAGTCAGTTTTCCGCACTTTTTTTTGTCATGCTTGAAGATATTGATTTAATAATTGGTATATAGTTTTATCATGACAAGTTACAGATCAAGTTCGAATTTTGTTCCGGTTTGATGATTTTGTGCAGAGTTTTGGTCCTTGGACTTAGAAAATTCAATCAAATAATCAGTTTTTCGCACTTTTTTTTGTCATGAATGAAGATATTGATTTAATAATTGGTATATAGTTTTATCATGACAAGTGACAGATCAATTTCGAATTTTGTTCTGATGATTTTGTGCAGAGTAATAGTCCTTGGACTTAGAAAATTCACTCAAATAATCAGTTTTCCACACCTTTTTTCGTCATGCTTGAAGATATTGACTTGATATTTGTTATACAGTTTACATCTTGACAAGTTATAGATCAAGTTAGCATTTTGTTCCAGTAGAATGATTTCTTAACCGATAGGGGACTATGTATTGCCATGCAATACTCACAGAATGATTGTTCACAAGGTAACAGTCCACAGAAAGTCATGTCGAACCCTACTCCGAGACATTATTCTGATATGATAAGTCATACCTTACCCCGAGACATTATTCTGATATGATAAGTCATACCTTACCCCGAGACATTATTCTGATAAGTCATACCTTACCCCGAGACATTATTCTGATAAGTCATACCTTACCCCGAGACATTATTCTGATAAGTCATACATTACCCCGTGACATTATTCTGACTCTGACCGACCAGTCTTTGCTCATGAAAAACACCGTGTGTTTTGCAACAAATGTAAATTTTGAAGTGTTTGGTTGTACATGTAAGCAGAGCAGACTTAGCATGAATCCACCGAGGCGGTTTAATAAAATTCAGTTCAAGATGTAAAGGGTATATCTATATCAATGATAAAAAGCTTCACAGAATGCTTTTGTTGATAATGATAACTCCCAATGATACTAGCGACAGTTGTTGTACTTCAGAATAATTGTTTCAATTTTTTTATTCTATTATTGTTTGCTATATATAAGTACGTCTGAACCAGTGACGACCTACAACAGATTTTATCCATCGGATCACATTCTGTGTTTTCAGCCTTGTATCACCATCACTGGTGATCCGATGGATAATATCTGTTGTTACAGTAGAGTCGTCACTGGTTCAGACGTACTTATAATATAATTGTTTCTGTGACTGCATCTTACATTAATTTATAGGATCCTTTACAATAGATAATTCAGCTGATCTGTAACAATTCCATCTTCATGCCTTATATATCATGTTCTGTGTTACAACGCTAGATTAAAACTGACGAGGAAAGGTAACACCCGGCCACCGAAAGCTTTATTATTTGTAGAGCCTAGGTGGTCGAGTGGTCTAGCGCGTCGGGCACAGTGCAAGGCGATTTGGTGCCACGATATCTCAGTAGATGAGTTCGAATCCCGGCCTGGTAAGAACAAAAAAATTTGCTAACGCAAATTTACAGTTCTAACATTGTTGGGCTGTTATTTAGACGAATTATATATATATATATATATATATATATATATAACCAGTCTAAAAGGGTACAACATCAACAAAAAATGACAATAAACGAACAAATGTAACTATGCAATAAAAAAAATGAAACAGTTTCACCCGAACATCATATGTAGAGACGCTAATAATTTTTTTAAATTTAAAAAAAAACGACTCAAAGACATGCCTAAAATGAAAATGGTAATTAGAGATATGAACTGGCACAACTCTAAAATTCCAAAATCACGTCAGTTAAGATGTTACAACAACTGCGTGTAAATACATACCCCAAAAAAACAGCACTGTTCGATATAAGCTGGTAAAATATGTCAAACAGAGGCTGCGTATTTATCATCCCAAATAAATAGCAGTTTTATAAGGGATTTGCACGTGCTAATAACAATAGCCGCAATGACCTATTACAGTACAAACAGAAGAGGCGCAGCAAAATATTTCCGTTTGTTTTAACATACAATCCCGCCTTTACTAACCTTTCACGTTTGATCCGGGCCAATTGGCAAACTATTGCCAAGCACCAAAAATTGTCCAAGATCTTTCCCAATCTTCCTGTCTTAGCTTTTCGGAGACCAGCAAGTCTGAAAGACTTATTTGTGAGAGCTGACGTCTCCTCTTATAAAAGCTGTTCAACTGCAGGATGGCGCAAGTCGTGTGGTAACAGACGATGTCTGACTTGCCAACAAATACTGAATACTCAAACATTTACTTGCCATTCCACTGGGTCTGTGTACACTATATTTTGTAACTTGCAAAACACAGAATGTTGTATACCTTCTTCAGTATCGATGTGGCATGCAGTATATTGGCGAGACAGAACAGCCATTCAACAAACGCATGAATGGTCATCGAAGTGACTACACCTGCAAGCCCGACCTCCCCGTAAGTCGTCATTTGAGATCACCTGGGCACGCCCAAGCTGATCCCAAAAACCTTACAATCACAATCATAGACCACAACGAGGGTTGGTCAAGGGCCGAAAGACTTGCTCGGGAAAGGTTTTGGATAAGAAAGCTAAGGACAGTTTCCCCAGAGGGCATAAATGAAAAAACATAGAATGAGTCACTCATTTTCCCTACCATCACTCATTCTCCTGACATCATTTGTTTCCAGTTACTCCGGCTTCCTTACTTGACTCTTACAGTTTTAAGGATTCTTTTGGAATTTTTTGAATTTTACTAGTTTAAATACCAGGGTTCTTTTCATTTGGTAGTGATGTACAAGTACAAGTACGCATCCACGTCCAATTATTTAACCTTAGCCCAAATTTACTATTTTTTTCTTTTCATTATAAAACTGCTATTTATTTGGGATGATAAATATGCAGCCTCTGTTTGACATATTTTACCAGCTTATATCGATCAGTGCTGTTTTTTTTACATCGTGCTCATACTGATGAAGGATATCTGTTATCCGAAATATTTATGGTTACATTTGTTCGTTTATTGTAATTTTTTGGTGATGCTGTACCCTTTTAGACTGGTTATATATTATATTTTGTACTGTACTGTATCATATTTATATGATCCATCGCCCCGTAAGATTTATCGTTGGCTATTATTCAGTCATTTAATATATATATAAACAAGTCTAAATTGAAAACAACGTTCAATCCTATGATTGCGTTGGATAAAAACCGCAATTTTTATACGTGTGCATGCAAAACTAATTTCTTGGTAGAGGGGTCTAAATACAGCACAAACAACATTTTCCAAAAGACCAAAAAGTGAAAAAGTATATTTTAACAAAACGCATTTGACTAGCAGGTTCGAACAACGGATGTTCTTAAACCCTGCTGACTGCCATGGCGATTGCCAAATAAACGGATCACAGATGTAACAAAATGGATCTTAATTTTAATCTAATACCAAATAGAAAACAAAAAAACTTGCGGAAAAGATGGTATACCGCAAACATGAGGTGCAAAAATTTGTACACCATATCCGGATTTCGACAATTAATGTCTCTTCAGTGATGTTAGGAATCGAAACGGTATATATATATATATATATATATAGGTAGTTAAGTAGATTTTTTTTAGTTAAATGAAGTTGTTGTGCATTCTTGATGATGATGAAAGGCTGTTAAACGTCCAGTGGCAAATGTTATATTAATGTTATATAAACTTTAACCGTTGGCCTGTTTTGTACTAGACCGACACGCTGAGCCGTATTTTTAACCTGCTAGTTCACAAGGTAACAGTCCACAGGAAGACATGTTTCCATTACCGGACACATTATTCTGACTCAGTATTTGTTCTTACTCCTGTATGCCTCGTGCTTAGCGGAAAAGCAGCAACTACCAATTTTAAAGTCTTTTTTGGTTTGACCTCGACCTCCCGCACTCGAGGCGAACACGATTCCACGAGACCACCGAGAAGGTATGCTGTGCATTGTAGTTTATTGTATGATTTTGTTTCTTTGATTTTTACATTTAAATATTAACTGTATACGGTAAAACATTTTTATATTAGGTCTGGATGGGGTTTAGGGAATAGAAGCTAAAATATAAAAAAAAGGAGAATATTGGCCAAAAATATATAAAGAACAGAGAATAACGGAATGATAAAATATAAAGAAGAGAGAATAATGGAATGATAAAATATAAAGAAGAGAGAATAATGGGCCAGAAAATAATGAATAGAGAAAAATGTCCTAAAAATTATAAAATACAACAATGAATACATCTCTTTATTTTCATATGACATATTCTAAAATATATACAAATTTTTACAGGAAGTTACTGTACCCGATCCTTATACGTTGCCAATAAGAAGATAATGTTCCAGATATGGGACACTGCTGGTACTGAACGTTTTAAAAGTATCGTCCCATTTTACCTTAGGGATGCAGATGTTGCCATAGTAGCCTATGATATCACTGAAAGGGTAAGTCTCTGTAGCCTGTGATATCACTGAAAGGGTAAGTCTCTGTCGCATGTGATATCACAGAAAGGGTAAGTCTCTGTAGCCTGTGATATCACTGAAAGGGTAAGTCTCTGTAGCCTGTGATATCACTGAAAGGGTAAGTAATGTCGATTGGTTGACTGTTGTTAGCATAACGTTCAGTGGCTATAATTACAAAACATAATTGGATCGAGAAATCACTAAGAATGAACACATTTTAACAAATAAATTAAGAATAAAGACACTAATAGAACTGTGGCAACTGTATTTCTAAGGAAAGAAATCTAAACATCTATAAGACTAAAGAATTGCGAGACATACAAGGATCGCATATAATTAACCATAAAAATGTGTACACAAACAACTCTCAACCTTTGGTAGTACATCTCCTGTTTTCTGAGAGTTATTATTTATGGATTCTTAATTTCAACGCATATATACAAAATGCATAATTATTCAAGAGAACAACATGCAACTTTTATCACGTGATATCAAAACCTGTTTTGTACTAGAACTAGTCGTCTATGAGTTGAATTTTTAGCGTGAGAGATCAAAAAGTATTCATGAAAATCATGACGTCATCTAATGTAATTTTTCGATTTGAATACGTAATTTTTCATAGCGTTACAGCAAAAGTTAGAATAACAAATATTCCAATGCATCATATTTTGGGACTATGTCACATAGTAACATGCCGCAGAAAGATTGTATTTCCTTAATTAATACTGTGAATATTTTATAGATCATACTTAATGTTTCATAGCATTACAGCAAGAGTTAAAATTGCAAATATTCCAAGGCATCATATTTTGGGACTATGTCATATAGTGACATGCCGCAGAAAGATTGCATTTCTTTAATCAATACTGATCCACTGGTTATCAAAATAATGTCTGCCAATTGTTGCCTTGTGATCTTGTAAGTACTTTTGAGAGTCCTGGTGGGATTTACAAAGAATAATGACTCCCGACTGTCAGCGTAGTGTACAGAGAAATGTATCAAATTATAATCCTGAATATACATGTAATATTTGCCACTGAATGTTATGTACTCATCAATCAATCAATCAATCAATTCTGTTTCGTAATATGAATGTGTTCACTTTTTTATAAAATAATCATTTTGATCGAAAGGTCCTTCTTTAAATGTTTTTTTTTTACTTTTCACGTTTCCAGTATATATGTTTTGGTATAAAAATACGTCCGCACATTTATCAAGATTGCACAAAGAGGCTTTTTGATTTATAAAAGTCGTATTTTACTTTTAATTTTACCAGAACACATTTGAGAACATCAAACAATGGCTTCGACTGTTACAAGAGAGTGCCCCTGAAACCATCAAATGTGCTTTAGTTGGTAACAAAAGTGATTTGCTTGAAAAACGACAAGTGACGACACAGGTACAATATGTATACATAGTTTGTGATACGGAGCATTGCTTATCAGAGAAAAAACACACTTAGGGAGCTACGATTTAATTTTTATGAGGGGCTAGGATGAATTTGGAAAAAAGGCAGGACAGGAGTTTTGAGAACAAAAACGCAAGATGAGCAACTTGGCAAAAAAAAGGCAGGACGCCAATTTATGTAAAAAAAAGTCAGAATAAACTCATAAAAAAGGCAGGACCGAATACAGTGAAAAATAAAAAGGCAGGACAGAGATTAAAACTATAAAAATAATGCAGGACAAAATTTTTCATCCTAGCCCCCCCCCCCCCCCCCCAAAAAATCAAATGGTAGCTCCCTTACGGCATAGTTATCTACATTATACGAATGGAGAAATTTAAGAACTGAATGTTTTTTTGTTATTATTTAATTTGGGATTAAAAGCGTTGCCCGAGGCACATTTTATATAAAGCGTGGAAGCGATACTAAAATTGTGCGCACGATCAACGCTTTTACAACCCTATAAAACTACAAAAATCAGCATGCAGTTCTCACAAAGTCAATTACATTAATACGCTACAATCATGAAATAACGAGTTATATCCAGCTTTTGGTTCGTTGTCCAATGCGTTGTCGTGATGTTGTTGTGGGATTATCTGGGAAGCACGTGCAGACATTAATGTTGCATTTTATTGAAAAATAAACTTTGATTTTGGAACGTCTCGCGGTTGTTGTCACCCAATCAAAAGTACAAACTCTTATGAGCCATACATAAATATGAAGACTACGTACTAAGTGAATGAAGATTGTCTCCCATTTCACAGAAAATCGGATAATTCAGTCGTGAATTAGACTTTTCTTAAACAAATGAAGTATATACACTATATAGATAAATATCAAGAATTATCTACTATTATTTGTCTTGTTTGGTATTGTGTTGTAACTATGATACCGTTATTTAAGCGTAAAATCTTTTCCTGTACTGATTGTTATTGTATTTTATTTAGTATCGTCCACTAATCAGGATTAAAATATCTCATCAAAATTGTGTTTTTTGCCACATCCTCATTTCAGTTATCACAATATGGATTATCTTTTGTTTTTGTTTTTGTTTCTTGTTTTTTGTTTTTTGTACTTGTTGTTTTTTTGGATAATGTGGTGTTGATGACAGATCCTTGATAGTCTATGTTAAATTTAATATCCACAAATTTATTTACCCCGAACTTGGGGAGATACAGAGCTAGACATATTCTATAGACACTTGTTTATTGTATGTTGACCACTAGATGTCTTTAGGTTGTTTGTGTCATCGGTTTGACGCATGCCCGACGTCTCTTTTTATGCAAAATGGTATTATTTCATTAAATCTACTACATGGTAATTCCTCCTTTTTCAGGAGGCACATACATTTGCAGATGAACACGGTCTCTATTTTCTGGAAACATCTGCAAAAACTGGTCAGAATATACAACAGCTCTTCATGGATATAGGTATTTATCATCTATATTTATCAATGTAGCACGTCGAATAAATACTACAAAACAGACGCGAAAGATACCAAAGGTACATTCAACCCGCATAAATCAACATTAATTTGACAACGCCATGACAAAAAACAACGAAAAGACAAAAGACCTGTTGGTGACCTTCTGCTGTTGTCTGTTCTATGGTCGGGTTGTTGTCTCTTTGACACATTCCCCATTTCCATTCTCAATTTTAAACAATGCCATAAAACGCTGCATAGAAAATTACAGACTGGGCAACATACTCTCTACCAAAAAATCCGCGTGGATAATAACAGATAAATAGTATAGCATTTTGATAGTTTAATCCATCTCGAAATTGCCTAAAATGTTTGGTAAACAAATTTAGTTTTTTTTAATACAATGTAGAAATGCAAGTTCCACATTTAATGGTAAAAGTAGGTATTAGTATGAGCGTCCACAAGTGAAAGTTACTCTCTTTGCATTACTAAGTTAACTTCGGTCGAACTCGCTTTAGTTGATAAGGGGAATGGAATCGGTCGAGGTGTGACGAATTAATTGGCATTTGTAATTGTTGTGTTGCCTCGACGAATTTTTCCCGATCAATATCTCAAAATCATAGTAGGACCTTCAGCACGGAAACAAATTACAATTCACACTCTCTTACCTACGTATGTGCAATGTAGAACACAGGTGCAGGTTAAAACCTTAAAATCACAGAGTATAACGGACTAAAATGGACTAGTGTTTGTTAGTTACATTTGCCTTTAGTTGATTGACTATAACTATTTAAGGGTTAACAGTTGTCAATCACACACTTATTTACTTGTATAAATAGTAGCGAATAGTTCTGGCACTTAACGTTTAAAAAAAACGTACAATGTATGAAAATATAAGAAATTACTTCTTTATTCATCGGTATTTGGATGTTGGGAACAATAAACTTCAGTTAAAACATTCTCACTTTATTTGGCCTTTTTTAATTATTTGATTCGAGCGTCACTAATGAGTCTATGACATACAACTATAATAACTTTTTTGTTGGATCCTTTGTTAGATGTATTTGTATGTTTGCTTGAATTTTATAGTCAATTGTGTTGTTTGTCTCTGCATGGTGTATGTTTATATACAGTCCAAATTATTGTCACATTAACCTATTATGTCTGTTTGGGTTGCTCGCCCGATTTTGTCAATATAACGGACTTATAAACAACTGTCATACAAGTGTGGTGTTTAACTAGCTATAAAACCAGGTTTAAACAACCATGTTCTTCGGAAAATACCTGTACCAAATCAAGAATACAGTTGCTTTCAATTCATTTCGTTGGTTGATCAAGTGTTACGTTTGGTTTTGTCTTTTTTTTACGGACTTCCTCTTTTTTGATTTACCTTGGAGTTCGGTATTGTTGTCATTTACTTTTATATAGCCAATAGCCAATAGTATTAAACATCAACAATCAATCATATATATTAATCAAGCAATATTGATTTCAGGTTCTATATTTGTCGAAGGTCCTCTGAAACAAAACAGAAACAGTTCTGTCATCACAGTGACGGAATCAAGTGATCCTCCTGAGGCAGGGAAATGCTGTCGTTGATAGACTTTGCGTTATGGTGATTTTTAACATCAGTCTCGAAATTTCACATTGAATAACATTACTACCAAAATAGTTACATTGCGTATGAATAGTGCTATACTGCCAAAATAGTTATATTGCATGTGAATAGTTAACCTGCCAAAATCGTTCCATTGTATGTGAATACCAGTAACTCAACTGCCAAAACAGTAACATCGTATGTGAAAAGTTAACCTGCCAAAATAGCTATATCGCATTGTGAATAGTTAACATGCCAAAATAGTTCCATTGTGTGTGAATACTAGTAGCTCAACTGCCAAAACAGTAACATCGCATGTGAAAAGTTAACCTGCCAAAATAATTAAATTTTATATTACTGTTCAGTGTGCTAACTACGACAGATGAACGTATATCTTACATACTAATGTATGTTTGAAGTAACGCGCTTTAAGAATCGTTAAACATTCCATTGGCATATTGTTATATGAATAGTTTGGCTCAGATAAGTGTACTTACCCTTTTGAAGAAACGAGCTTCAAGAATCGTTATACATTCCATTGTCATATTGTTATATAAATTGTTTGGCTCAGATAAGTGTACTTACCCAAACAAGATCGAGTTGCTGACCTGTTCTTTTTTTTCGTATTTGCATTAACTGTTTTCGTTATGTTTTGGACTTTCTTTTTTTTTTAGGGGCGGTTGGGGGGGGGGGGGGGGGGGGCTCTGCATTGACATATGCTTATGAAATGTCACATGTTATAATACAGCATTATTTGTATCATATAATGATTCATTAATATCACTGCATAATGAAGACTATGAACAAGCTCACAGAGGATTGGACATTATCTTCTATGAAATCTTTTTAATACACTAACTTCTAATGATGCAACACTTGTAAGAAATGTGTGAATTTGTTGTAAAGAGTTTAGTTATTTTAAAAACGATGATACCACAAGATTTCGTTGTATTCAGAAAAAATGAAAACAACACGTTATAAATTTCATGCGTCCGAAGCGCTTTTCTGGATTTACCTTCATTAGGAACGCCAAAAGCTGAATATTTGAAAACCGAAACCGAAACAATTCACATTGTGGAAATTGGAGCAATTACTGTATTCGACAAATGCAAGCTGTATACTATATTCAGCTTGTAATCATTTCAGATATGCTAAATTGATTTCTGAAATACTCTATAAACATTTCCAAAATGTGCTTCACTTGTGGAGAGTTGTCTCATTGGCAATCATACCACATCTTCTTTTTTATATTCATAATATATCTTAACAGTACTGTGGATTCATTTAGTTTCGTTGATAGCAATTTTTATGGATCGAGGAAACATTGTGTTTTCATGGATATTTGATTCGAATTCCTAATTTGGCAAAGTCAACCAACAAGCCTTGAAAAAATGTTAATTCGGTTGAACATTTAAATTAGTGGTTAACATATAACCATGAAATCAACGAAATTTGTTTCCAACGAATAAATATGAATCTGCAGTAAATAAATAGTTTTCTGGGTAGAAATATGTAAATCTTCTTAGTAGAGAAAATTCCCCAGTTACAATTCTTTAAACATCGTTAAAGTGGCATAATATGCTATTTTGCTGATATATATATACATGTATATATTGAAAACATTTCAGTCCCTTTATCAAACAATTGCAAGAACGGGATATATTGGATATTTATGCGCAACTAGCAGTTAGTTTCGTCCAATTTTGTCAAAATATGGCTGACTATTATTGTTTATATCCACTTCATTTGAACTTTGGTTGATAGTTGTCTCATTGGCAATCAAACCTCATCTCCTTATTTGTATATTAACAAAGTCGCCATTTTAAATTTAATTTTCAACTACGATATAAAATTAAACAGAACTAGGAGATTCATGATTATTATACTATAATAGCACATGCTCCCCCGACCCCCAGGTACTCATGTATGCTTTTTTTTTTCATTTCATTAATATTGGGGTGACTTGCCCATCGGCAATCTTTGAAGGTAACTTTAATAGTTAATAATATGTCGTACATTCCCAAACTACGCACGAAACATTTTTACGTTATAACGGATTCCTAGTATTTTCTATTTTTTTATATGGTTCTTTTAACATTATAATATACATTTTAAGTATGTTAAAAATTCAGTTTTGAGAGTTTGAATCAATTTAGTGGACATGCATTTTGCAGCTAATGTCGCTTTAATAATATTTTTGAAAAGTTCGTTTGACTACAAATCACAAACAAAATGTTCCTTTTTCTACAATGTTGTCATGAACGTAGATTCAACCAATCATCTTCCTCGCCTCAAAATCATCTTTGCCATTGTCGTTGGCATCATCATTGTTGATTACTTTTATACTTTTATAACTTTTTGTTATTTTAATGTCTAATACATAACAATAAAAATTATAATTGCAAAACAATTCTTTTATCTAGCCAGCAGAAAAGTCGTACTACCTATACATTAACCGATGGTCACACCTATATACCCAATTGTGAAATCTTTGACGAGTGTGAATTCTGATGACGCGAGTGTTGCATGCATATCAGGAGACGTTTGTCCTGTCGACTCGCACCGTTTTGAGTGCATTCGAGTCGCTCAGGTTTTATTTTTTATTTTAATTTTGTATATTCCTAATGGATTTAAGGGATTTTAATATCGGTACACTGGTATTTTCGACACTGCTAAAGGGACAGTCAATGCCTTTATTTATTGTTTGTCCAAAATACTCGTCTTATTAAAGTGGATTATAGATGTCTAAACTCTATTGTTTTTGTGGCATTGTGTCATGTGTAAACTCTATTGGTTTTTGTCTCGCCTTTACGGAGTCAAAAAGCGAGACAAAGGTATGCTGTTTCCGGCGTGGGCGGGGGCGGCGGCGTCGTCATCAATGTATTAGTTTGTGATTAGGTCTAATTTATGGTGAACCACTAGTGGTAGGTCAATGATATTTGGTATACAGTTGTATTAGCATTGGCATATCTCATTTCCATGGAGATTATTTGGCCCCGGCCTCTCAGTCATGGTCTATTGACTTTTAAACTTTGCTTAATTTACATGTATTAGTTTGTGATTAGGTCAGTTTATGGGGAACCACTAGTGGTAGGTCAATGATATTTGTTATGCAGTTGTATAAGCATTGGCATATCTCATTTCCATGGAGATTATTTGGCCCCGCCCCATCAGTCATGGTCTATTGACTTTGAAACTTTTGCTTCGTTTACATGTATTAGTTTGTGATTAGGTCAGTTTAAGATGAACCACTAATGTTAAGTCAATGATATTTGGTATGCAAGTGTCATATCCATGGAGATCATATAACCCCACACCCTCATTATGGTTCATTGACTTTTACATAATTTACAAGTTAATGTTTGTGTTTTTCAAAGGGAACGACGTATGATATTTCAGTGGTATTTGGTTTACAGTTGTATTAGTATTGGCACATCTCATTTCCATGGAGATTGTTTAGCCCTGTACCTTCAGTCATTGTTCATTTACTTTGAATATTTGCATAACTTACATATTAATAAAGTGTTGCTATTTGAATTTCAACATTTGCATTATCAAAATAACAAAAAGGCGAGACATATCTCTGTGTTAACAGTTTATTATGACATTGCGTGGTTATGTCATGTCTAAACTCTATTTGTTATTGTGACATTGCGTGGTTGTGTCATGTCTAAACTCTATTTGTTTTTGTGACATTGCGTGGTTGTGTCATGTCAAAATTCTATTGGTTTTTGTGACATTGCGTGGTTTTGTCATGTCTAAACTCTATTGGTTTTTGTGACATTGCGTGGTTGTGTCATGTCTAAACTCTTTTGGTTCTTGTGACATTGCGTGGTTGTGTCATGTCTAAACTCTTTTGGTTTTTGTGACATTGCGTGGTTGTGTCATGTCTAAATTCTATTGGTTTTTGTAACATTGCGTGGTTTTGTCATGTCTAAACTCTTTTGGTTTTTGTGACATTGCGTGGTTGTGTCATGTCTAAATTCTATTGGTTTTTGTGACATTGCGTGGTTTTGTCATGTCTAAACTCCATTGTTTTTGTGACATTGTTTGGTTGAGTCATAGACCGTCACGTATATCCCATATCCCCTTTTATTCACATTAGTTTTGCACCTAATCCCTAGACTTTAATACAGGAACATCTTTTGAGATTTTGGTGAGAGGCTGTATATCTTGCATTTTTTAAATTAGAATTTGAAATGCACTACACTTCAAGTTACGGTATATTGTAAACAACCAAATTGAATGTCCATACATACTGACTATAGTTTTTGGAAATATCTTTAGACATATCTCATCGGAATATTAAGCGACTGATTTTCATAGTATTAACTTAGTGTATACATATGATAAACACATTCGAAGGAAAACATGTGGTTAAACCAAGTTTTACCTCCCATTTGTTCATCAATCGTTTGAATTTCTTTAAACCTTTCCTGACCGCATACGGTTTGTTTTTGTGTACGTGTCTGTTAACGTGTCAAGTTGCTTTTGATTTGTATCATTTACTGGATTGCTTTTGTTTTTTTTTTTTGTATTCCTATTTTCGATTTTCTACATCTGAACCATTCCTAAAGTCAGGTTTCTGCGCAGTCTCAGCGTTCTTGTAAATAAAGTGTGAACTAATGAGATGTTCCAAAACACTGGCTTTGCATAATACAAAGCATTTCTGATTTGTCAAATAATTCGATATCTTCCTTTTGTATTAACTAGATTGAGTAACACGAACTCATTGAGAAAATTTTCCTCCCAAAAGTGTGTGTTTCGTTTTTTACAATAGCGTATGAAGAATTCAAGGTTCACATTGCATACAAACAAAGTAAAGTTTACACACGTCGGTACTGTAACACACTAAGGGGACGACCATTTGATTTTCCGGGGGGAGGAAGATTTGAAAATAAAATGCAATGGCCAAGTAAGAGATGCAAATAAATAAACTAGCATAAAACAGCATGACAAATGAATATTCTGAAAAACAAAATGCAGGGAAGAATTGCGTATCCTCCTCCCCCCGCCCCATCCTGATTATCAAATAATCGTCCCCTGACATGGTTCATCTTATACACATATCAATACTGTGATACAGTTACATGATTCAGCTGTAAAATTTATAAAAAGAAAATTTTCTTTTTAAAATGCCTAAAGATAATTAATAACGAAACAAACAATTAACTTCACTTAACGATACTTTTGTGGTCAAACATTATTGTAAAATCAATAAGAAACTATTATAGACCTTTAAGATATTGTTAGAAACAATTATGATGCTAATTTTATTGCTCACGTGTCTCCGGATACTCATATAACAGGTTATTCATACAAACAACTGATATATGACTAACGCGAACAGTACTGTAATGCTCCGTAAGAAAATAGTCTGATAGTTTATGTTTCGCCCAAGTAACGTATATAGGTATGAACCATCACGGATATAACAGTCAGTCCAGTCTATATAAAAGTGCAATTTACATATGATCTAGTTGATACAAGTTAATAAACATTAGGTAGACCTTTCATGTTTTTTTTTATTTAAAATTCGGAATCGACGTAAATTCAATTTTTTGCAGTAAAAGATCAGATGACGCAATATGATCGTTAATGAGAAAAATTTCCACCAAAGACCAACTGACGTAGACGTTTTCAACCATAGGTCACCGTAGATGTCTCTTTTATCTATTGTATTGTTTGCAAGCTGTCCAGTGAACGTTACCCAAAATCTATGTAAAGTTTATATATCAGATGTATGTAGAAGTATAACCCGAATAATTCAGTCGTTATATTCCGCTGATCTACGATTACTTCATTAACCTCGCAAGTAGGAGAGATTGATTACGGGAAGGGACTGAATTATTCGGGTTAGTAGAAGTACGATGATTTTCTCTGACTTCACTTTTCCTTAATCAGTAACAAAACAAAGCCATACAATGGCATGCAAATTGAGTGTTGAATTCTTTAAAAGAGGGATTGAGATTATAATACATGCCTTTTAAATTTTCAAAAACTATGTAGCCCTGAGAAACTGACTCAGTGCCAAACGCGAGGCAGAGATTTTGCCCGGAATTTAAAGCTTTAAAAACTTTGATGAGATTTGGGCTGATTTTTTGGAAAACTTCCATAACAATTTACATGTGTAGTTTTGTATTGACATCCTGATATAAAGTGTTTATTTATTTTTTTAATGTACATGATTTTGGAAGAGTATTTTATTGAAAGCCTGAATAATCGATTTTGTTTTGTTAGTGTTTTTCCTGTTTTCTATGAAATTGTATCTTTTATATTTTTGTCGAGCCTGCCATTGATTTTGTTTTTTCAGTGTTTTTTCCTGTTTTCTATGAAATTGTAACTTTTATATTTTTGTCGAGCCTGCGACATTAAGTGAGACATAGCGATCCTAGATTCCGTCGTCGTGAGCAGAAGCTTTTTTTATGATTAAGAGATAATGTCTGAAGCAAAATTTTGAAAATATATTTTTCAACTTTGGTGGATAGATGTCTCATTGGCAATCATACCACCTCTCATTATTTTTATATTACAATGTATATCAAAAGCTCTTATTTTATTGGTAATTTCAAAATCTAATGCTTTCTGGACGATATTTTCAAAAGCTTCAACAACAATGTTGTGACGTTATTTCCATTTTAGGTTACGAGCAATTAAATCGTCCTTTATATTATGGATTGCATTCCTGTCTAAAATGAATCAAGCCGTGCTTGACCGGGTGAAGTTTGAACACATCTGACTCCAGTTAAAATATTGACCAACTATTGCAAATGAACACTTAGAAACAGTATTTGACAAATTATGTCATAGTGTGAACGCATCATCTGGGTTCTTGATAGTCATAGTTTGATTAAACAAATAACTTCAATTTCAGATTACAAAAATAAATTACAAAACCACCTGCTAAAAATAGAAAACCAGAATTTTAAAACAAATTACAAAGGAGGCAATTCTCATGCAGCAATTTACAAAACATTAAGAAAAAAAGACGTTGAAAGATAAGTAATTACTGATACACAAATAGTCACATGAACTAATAATTACATTACATGTATGTTTCCTTATGATACGTTATTTTGATTGGCTAACAGCAATCTCGCGTCATAAAATTAACCTTCATTTCAAAGTTCAAAATGAAATGTGACATTCATGATGACACGAGCTTCCAAAAATAAAGTGCACAGGTAAATAAAAGAAAAAACTTGATAGAAATCGTGTTTTCATGATCCTAGCAAAAGTATTGAATTCTTCTTTTAGTAATTGTATAGGGTTGTAAAAACGTGGACAGTGCGCACATTTTTAGAATGAAGCGCTTCCGTTATTCATACAAAATGTACTTCAGTCAACGCTTTTACATCCCGATAAATTTACAAAAAGAAGTATTTAATTCTTAATTAAACTTCATGTTAA